TATATATGTTACCGTGAAAGACCGAAATTGGAGAATGTCAACATTCACCAAATACGTCGGTGAAAGATCGAACATTTTTTTACATTCTTGTACATTCGGACCCTCACCGGTGTATGTCGACAATCACAGATATGCTCTGGTGTAGGTCGAAAAAAGAGAGGAGTCTATGTACACGCTGCCATTCCAAAAGGAAGTGTTCCACAAATAAATGCAGTTGTAAAAGCAAGGGCCTCTTGTGCAATTCAAAGTGTCTTAATAGTTTAAGTTGTTGCAATAAATAAGATTTGAATCACATAATTTGGTAAGTTTATAACTTCTATTATTTTCCTTTCTCATTTTGAATGTACTGTGTGTTTTAAGTTCTTATTCTGAGTCTCAAGTGCGTTTTTTCGCGAATGAATGATGGAGAAGGAAATATAATATTCTTATATGTTCAACATTCACCATTAGTACATGGTGAATGTTGACATTCACCGGTGTATGTCAGAAATAAGAGTATTTGGAAAATATTTCGGACATACACCAAGCGACTATGTGAATGTTGACATTCACCGGTGAAAGTCGACATTCTCCAGATTTCGGTGTTTCACCGTAACATATACATATTTATATACTTTTGGTGCGGCCGATTGCCACCAAAAAGGAAGGTGCACATGCACATGCTATAGCAGCCCTATATTACCACAATTTCAATGTTTTGAGGCTACTCGTTTTTCATCTTTGTTTTCGTCTACTCGAGATCCATACATACGTACATACAGACGCCACGAAAAAATCTCTTCTGAATCCATTTTAAATCAGTTTTATAATTCGTTTTGGGGAAAAGATTCCTTTATTCTGTCCTTACGTACAGATCTCACGCAAAAACTTCGTTAAATTGCATTCGATATCGTTCAAAATGGATATTTCCGTTGAAATATGAAACCCGGAATTTTTCATGATTACAATACTTCGTACAAGGAAGTAAAAAGGGGAGGAAACAGGCGAAGAAATACGGTATTCAGGGTTCAATTTACATTTAACTTGCAGTAGAAAAGGCAATATAATTTTACATAAAAAATAAGACACTTAAAAATTATATAAATATACTTGAGGTAGATGATGATACTTAATGACATAAAAATTAAAGCACATAATGGGACTCACTAGTAGTAGTTTAATAAATCACAGTGACGTAAATACATTATTTTACGGGAGGTAATATGTGTTTGACTTTACTAGAACTAAATTATTTGACAAAAGATTTATGAACTTATATTACAATAAAGAGCGCCATAAAAACACATCTTGTTATTTTTAACAAAAAATCATCCGAAATTAATTTAATATTGTTTGACTTTATCAGAACTAAATTATTTGACAAAAGATTTATGAACTTGTATTACAATAAAGAGCGCCATAAAAACACATCTTGTTATTTTTAACAAAAAAAATCATCCTAAATTAATTTAATATTAACTCAGTTTCCATGATTACAAAATTGTAAAATATTTCAATTATAATTAAATAATGAAAATTTTTTCATGACTAAAAGTTTTGTACAATAATTAGGCGAAAATGGCACCGACGTATTATCCGCGATTTAGCGCCAATAAGAGTGACCTAACGACTTCCTCATACCATCTGCGCTTTCATCTGATGTAACACCGACCGATTTTCAAGCCCATGTTTAGTTTTTATAAACTAGGATCTAAATTAAATGTTTTTTGTTGTACTTTTTCCTTGCATTTTTTGGGGAAGGGAATGATTAAAATTTATGACCTACCTTGCTACAAAAAAGAATGCAGTGGATTATTTTTAAAGTTATGCGATTATAGGATAAAAAAAAAGTACGTATATGCACACGATATTGTCAGCTGAATATGGCCGATAGAACAGGAATAATTTGGAAGAATTATTTGAAGGAAGGTTGCACTTACAGCGTTCTGAACAAAGCTTATGTTTATGGTTATATGAATGTAGTAAAACACACGAGGCTATTTGCCTAAGGAGAGGGATGTCTTCGTGGAGGACCTTTCTATGGGAAACTGACTCGAATTTACGTAACACAAGGGCCAAATCACAAAAATCGACCAGCCATCCAGCCTGGGCGCCTGGGATTGGAACAGGTCGATCTGAAAGTAATCCAGCGGTCTTAAACACTCGACCCTCTGGTGGTGCTAGAAAGCTTTCGGTTAAAAGGAAGGGTTAACAGAATATTAAAAGTGGACAAAAGCCTTTCTATGAAGCACAAAAACGAAGCGGGTCTAATAATGATTGTTTATTAAACAGAGAAACGTCAATCCTTGAGAATTCCTCAAGAGCGATCGGCGCCAATTTGGCAGCATCTCCGCCCCCTTTTATGGTTGACGGTATAATATGTAAGTATCGTGAAAATAGCTAACAATAGCATAACAGGTGCTTAAATGTATTGGCGCAACTACCTTGAGGTAGTTCGTTTATTTTTTACAGAAGAAAAACAACAATGGCTTTTAACTGAAAAAGACTATTTATTACATAAATATTTTACTTTTTAATTAAGTATTTATCCTGAAAACTATAAATAAACCTATTCACAAGTGGATTTTTGTTCGTCATGATCGCTTTAAAAGGTATTAAAAAATTGTTCTTCTCAGCATTTTTTTTTGCCAAAATATTATATTATATTCCTGAAGAAATTTTACCGCAGTTTCTTCCATTGCAAGCGACACTTTTAAAATTTAGTTAAAAAAGTTTAAAACAAAATACACTGCAGTCTGTATATAAAAGCGGTTGGAATGCAGCAAAAAGAACGTATGCGAAAATGCTGTAATTTTTCTTTTTCTTTTTCTTTTTTTTTTCTTTTTTTTTTTTTATAATTAAAGTGCAAAAACTGTCATGTTTATGGTTACTTTAAAAGAATTTTTATGGGCATGGTTGTCAGATATTGGAGCACTCTGAAAATTTGCCGACTTTAAGTAAAGTTGTTGCACTAAAATATTAAACATAAAAAAGTATGTAATTTTACATTTATTACATAAGAATATCCGAAAACGACGATTTAATATTAGATTAATGAAGTATTATGTTTGAATTCATACTAAGTACGACTTGCGTTTTTCGGGCACACTGGTTTTACCGACTCATACTTACCAGCTCATATTTTCTTGACGATAACTTTTTCGGTGTCAACACATGGACCATTTCGATAACTCTTATCTATTTCTTATTCTCTTTTTTTTTTGGGGGGGGGGAGGAGATATTTTTTTTTTTATATATATATAAAAAAGATCATCTCATCCTAGGAGAAATTATGTAGGGTAATAATACTGTCATATATTAGTTGGTAGGATCAGTTAAAACCCGGAGAAAACTTTTCTTAAAGGGCAATTAAAGTTCGAAAAATGTATTACTTGGTATTAAAATTAGAGAAAACATTAATTAAATTAGTTAGGTAATTAAAATTAGAGTAAGTATTAATTAAGAATAAAATTAGAGAAAGTATAGATTAGATAAAGTATTAATTCAATTAATTAGGTAATTAAAATTAGAATAAGTATTAATTAATGATAAAATTAGAGAGAGTATAAATTAGAGAAACAAATAAAAACTATTAATGTGTGTTATATATATATATATATATTTTATTTTTTGCCATTTCTTATAGATTATCATATATAAAATTTCTTTTTGGGAGCTTAGCCATTTCTTTGCATACATAGCGAAAATTTGATTCATCGAGTTTTTACTTGAATAGTTACAGTTATTAATTTACTTTTGTATTGGAAAACTGGTTATGCAGAGCTGGCGTTTTTAATTTCCAGAGGTATAAATAATTAAAAATAATTAATTTAAATGCCTCATTTAATTGGAAGTGAAGAGAATCATAGCTATAATACCAGAAAACGTAGTAGTACCGGTGTGTAGATTCCTCCACCTCTTGAAAATTTTTGAATTTGACAATGATATAACGCTTTTTTCCGAACTGTAATTTGCATTTCGTCTGTATTATATATATAAGTATATATTTACTTTATTATTTTTCCAACTCAGTTTGAGTTAACTTCATAGAATTCTTTACTTAATTATTTGTAATAATTTAATAAAATTTCAGCTTTTAAATTCATTCTTTGCTTGTTTAGTCATAATTTATATAAAAATTTATTATACAGGGTGTTTATAAAGTCCCGGACCCATTTTGATGTTTAATAACTCATAAAATAATGAAGATATAAACACACTTCTGGCATTTATTGATGAAATAGCTTATATATTTCCCTTTTCAGGTTTGAATATCTTTACTTTTGTAAATATCGTCTGCGCGTGTGGTTAATTTCAAATAATTTCATTTTCCAGTCTAAATATCTGTACTTTTCTAAATATCCTGCTTATTAATTGCATTTTTCTCTCTTTTGTTTCCTTTTGTTGTTTTGGTCATTGGGGATTTGGAAACCCCCATGAATACCATGAGGCACAAAGGGATTCCCCAAAGGTTAATGCGTGGTGTGGACTAATGCACGACCGAGTCATTGGGCCTTTCTTTTTTACAGGAAAGACGGTCTCATCAGCCGTATACTTAGACATGTTGGAAAACTTCGTATTTCCACAACTAGAAGAGCTTCACATGTCTTTTTGCAACAAGATGGTGCACCACCTCATTGGGGTACCATCGTTCGTAGTTCTTTGAATGACCATTTTACAGGAAGATGGATTGGGTGAGGAGGTCCAATTCCTTGGCCACCCAGATCACCTGATATAACGCCGCTGGAATTTTTCCTTTGGGGATTTGTAAAGGACAACGTTTTCAGGAGGAGAGTGTCGAACATGGATGACCTAAAAGCCAGAATTACAACCGCAATAGCCTCTGTGGATGCCGACATGATTGCCGGTACCTGACGTGAAATTGAATATCGACTTGATATTCGACGAAGGGGGCACACGTGGAAGTTCATTGACAAGGGTCATGAAACTTTTTGAGTCTATCTAACCATTTATGTTTTTAATTTTAATCTATCTTTATTATTTTATGAGTTATTAAGCATCAAAATGGGTCCGGGACTTTATAGACACCCTATATATATATATATATATATATATATATCATTTTCGCTTTCGTCTATCGTACATAGATTTTCTCCCTGAGGGCTGGTCTTTTGGTAGATAAGCTTTCTTTGATAATTTTTATTTTCATTTTTATTCAGTTTGTATTTGCATTTTTGTATTAAAACTTCATCGATTTTACTTTCTTTTGCATTTATTATTTGAAACGTATTTTGTGCAAATTATTCTTTAAACAGGTTCTCCTTTAAAGACTTAGCAGGTGTTCCCACACTTAACTTTCCAAACATGTGGTTACACCTTACCTCCGTTGTTTACGTTCCAGCTCTTTATCTACTGCTGATGTGTTCGATCTTTCGAAATGCAGGTCTTTTGCTTGTTTCTCCCTCCTCACTTGTTCCTCCGAAGCCCTTTTAGAGAACTTCATTCAAGGTTCATTCATGCGAGGTACTCCTGGGGCTTTACAAGTTAATTGAGTAAGCTCAATTACCGTCAGATTTCGGCTCAATATCCGCCAAATATTGAAGTGTTAATATTATTATGCATTCTTATCGGAATGTAGTTTTCATCTAAAAAAATAATATTGTGAAAGTTGCAAGTTGTTAATATATGATTATTTTTCATTTATTATGTTCTTATTGTAACCGCGTTCTTCGGAAATTGAATGATTCGCATAATTTTTCCCTTTCGATTTTCTGACGATAAAATTAGTTAAAAAGGGGGGAAGGTACTTGAGGTACGGTATATAGCCCCTAAAACCAACTTCCCCCTTTTTAGCTGCGAAAATGGCTTAATCTCAAAATTTTGATAATGTTTACAGCTAAGTTTGCATATTATGAAACAAATGTTTTTTAGAGAAGGGAGGAGATTTTAATATTGTTTACTTAAATAACTAGAGTTTTGCAACATTCTTTCTAAAGCACAAATATAATTTTTTTCGCCCTTTCTTTTTTATTAGAAAAGGTCACGTAACCAAAACTGTCGTAATCTGCTAAAGCTTACCTTATTCTGTTCAGTACTTAAATTGAAATTATGAATCTATGGTCAGCTTTTTAGAAATATTTCAAATATGCACAGACTATCAAATATGCATCTCATGTATCAGTGGCGTAGCTAGGGTGGGGTAAGGGGGACATCTGTCCCCGGGCGCAGCTCTAAGGGGCGCCAAATTGATGCTACGAAATTTTTTAAATGAAATGTTTTCCATCCTTGGCACACAGAAAGGGACGCAAATTCTTCAGTTGTCCCCGGGCGCTGGAAACTCTAGCTACGCCCCTGTCATGTACTAATGGCACCCACATGATTTAACAACCATATTTTTATATTTCTTCAGTATAACATTCGAATTGTCATCAAAATATAACACCGTAATGGCAGAGAGTTGAGTTGGTGCACAGCACGGTTTTGGAGCCATAGTCGGATTCGTGAAATGAACCAGGGCTTGTACAATAGCGTGATTTGTGGCATTCATATGGGCGTTCAAGGGAAAATAGCAGCGACCGTAACAGTAGTAAGCACCGTACCCATCAGGAGCAATAATCCAGTCCTAAAACAAAAGAATACAAAATTTGTTAAAGAGCATTTAACAGTAGAATACTTAACTCTAATTTCAAATGTGGTGTAAAGCTTTCATCATTATTTTACTTCAGCAAAACCAGGACAAGTCGAGATAGCCAATTTATAATCAAGACAGTGGCGTGGCTAGAGCATGGAGGTAGGAAATAGTGGTGAGTCGGTACTACCGAACCGGGTATTTTGTAACGGGTACTTAGTTGTAACGGCTACTGAAAATCGGTACATCCAAGTACCCGTTACTTCAGTACCGAAATCGGTACTTTTCGGTATTCGTTACTTCTGTACCGAAATGGGCACTTTTCGGTATTCGTTACTTCTGAACCGAAACGGATACTTTTCGGTATTCGTTACTTCTGCACCGAAACGGATACTTTTCGGTATTCGTTACTTCTGTACCGAAACGGGTACTTTTCGGTATTCGTTACTTCTGTACCGAAACGGGTGCTTTTCGGTATTCGTTACTTTGTAACGAAAATATGCTTCTTTTCTCGGTATTTCGGTATTCGTTACTTTGTAACGAAAATATGCTTCTTTTCTCGGTATTTCGGTATTCGTTACTGGAGGATCGATGAGGGTTCAGCTCACTTCGGTTTTGGTACGAGGACAGTAGTATTTGGTTGTATTTGGTATGCGCTCCTTGTGTCCATGAATGGTCTGCTCCTCAGACACTTCAGTAGGTGACATGTTTTCTTATATTCAAAATTTTACTCCGTACAGATAAAATCAAACACGTGGTGACGTGGCAGAGTTCCTTCAGTGCGCAAAATCGTTAGCTGCATATTTCGGTACTCAAAATCGTTACTAGGGCACTTCGGTACTCCAAATCGTTACTAGGCTACTTTGGTACTCCAAATCGTTACTAGGCATCTTCGGTACTCCAAATCGTTACTAGGGTACTCGGGTACTCCAAATCGTTACTAGGGTACTCGGGTACAGTAAAGCGTTACTAGGGTACTCCGGTACAGCAAACCGTACTCCGGTATTTCGTTACTTCGGTACTCCAAATCGTTACTTGGGTACTCGGTACTTGAAATCGGTTTTCGGTATACTTTTCAAAGTAACGGTTACTTGAGTAACGGGTATTTTGTACCGGGTACTTGTCTGTACCCGTTACTCTCGTACCGGGTACAAGAATGTACCGAAGTTGCCCATCACTAGTAGGAAAGGAAGGAGGGGCCAATCGACACTAGAAGTGAAGCACTGCTTTGAAGCTTGGGTCACCAGATGGGGTGTTCTTTGTTTACATTCAGAAGCTCGCTTGACAGGATTCTGATAGTATTTCGACACACGACAGTTCCATACAAATCGAAAAAGGGACACTTTCGCATGAAAGAAACATTCATAGTGTGATGGATAATAGCAATTTGTATAGTTTAGTGACATTTACGCAAAAATCACATCTTGGTTATTTTTCGATAACTAACAACAGCGATTTTGATTATGAATTTGTTTTATAAAATTCTAAGCTGTTGAACTACAAAAATATAGATTTTAAGAAAAATGTTATGCTTAAAAAGAATGAAAAACACCTTACGATACATTTAAAATTGTATACGTCTTTCGATACCCTTGATAGAGTATTCGCTACTTTTATTTTATTTTCCAAACACCAAAATGTTTTAAATAGAAAAAATTTTTTTCACATGCATATATTATTGTTGCATATTTTTGCAAAAACCATGTATCTGTCTTTGACAAAATACATAAATATTCATTAAATTATTTATAAATGTATTTGAAATGAAGAATTTATTCACTTATAAACAACTGCGAAAGTACTGTGAAGAAATCTAATTATTAAATGTACCTAATTTATAATAATTATAAATGTTATCTAAATATATAATAACCTTAATATTGAATTGTAAACATAAATTGAAATCCTGTTGACAAATACGTTATAAAACTATTTAAGCAAGAATTGTTCGTATTGGAAAGCAATCTGTTAAAAGGTATTGTAAAGCAAATGCTATGAGGTGCGCACTTAAGAACGTAATAAGAGTTTTGGATTATGTATTGTTGAAATGAAGGGTAAAAAAAAATCTGATAAGAATTATTCCCCTTACATTTTATAATAACTCAGTTACAAGTTTTAAATAATACTTCAAAAAACAACTTATTTTATTCCCTTTCAGAAATGTTCAGAGAAAGTCAAGTACTATTTAAAGTATTTCGCTAATTCCTAATAATTCTCTAATTTAAAATGAACCGAATAAACATTATAAATTGACTTACATTGACGAACATTAATTATAAATTGACTTACATTTTTCGATTTAAAAGATGCCTCAGAAGCCAAAAAATCATGTCATAATTAAGAAAGTATTTTAGGAAGAAGCTCTATAAATAGAAAAGAAATAATGCACAATTTTAATATTAATAATACAATAAACTTTGATCTTAATTTTTGTACTTTAACCGAATCAAATCGAATTACCTTAATTTTTTTTTCTAATGTGATTAACGAAAACTTGTGAAAATATTTCATTCAAATTAAACCATTCTGAGAAAACTGTCCTGCGAAAAGTATAGCATTTAATTCCGTTCAGAATGAAATGTTGTTTAAAAATATGTTGTTTCACATACTTAGGACTCTGAAGTGTTGCAGAAAAAGAAAATATATACATTTATATGTATATTTACGACGTAATTACAAAATATTTACATCCGAACGCGTCAAATCCCATTGAACTCAATGGTAAATGACCCAATGTTTTGGTCACCACGTAGGGATCGCCGGTGCTTCAGAGCAGGGTACGGGAGAAACTTATTTAGGGCGACTCCATCTTACTTCCTACCTCCATGGGCTAGAGGGGGGGAGGGGTGAAGACATACTTAGGTAAGTTTTTAGGGACTATTGTTTTCGTTTTGCGATTTTGCGTCGGACTCATAAAACGTCGGTTCACTTTTCAAACTGTTGCCACAAAATGTTAGAGTCCTCCATTATATTTGAAGAAATTAAATAATGAAAAATCTGCATAAATGATTGTCTATTTCTCGCATTGTGATAAAACAATGGTACATAGAGCCATCGAATTTTGAATGACGAAATCCTACTGCGAATATGGGCATCTGAAATCCCAAATTTGGAATTTGTTTTATTATAGATTTTATATTTTCTAAAACTTTAACGAATTTTTGATTTACAAACTCAATGCTTTAAAAGCGAGAAATGGCAACGTTATATAGAAAAAAAAAAAAAAAAAAATACTTTTATCTCCAGCTCGCGAGACTGTGTATATCGGAAATTCTAAAGATATGCTTAATTTAACATTATTTTGCGATATTGCTCTTGAACTGAATTTTATGGTTTAAGTGCAAAGAACATGATATTTAATAAATAAAGGTAACACTCAAAACGTTAAAAAAACGCCTCTTTGGACGTAATTTAAAATCTGAAACATTTCAGATTTTTTTTTTTTTTTTTTTTTTTTTTTTTTCACAATATTACTTTATAGGGGTTAATTAGCCAGTGGTCGGCAAACTCATTAGTCAACAGTCAGTATCAACAGTTCAACGATTGAAATCTCTTTTGAGGGACACATTTTAAATTATATAGGTAGGTATATTGTCATTCACTTAATTAGGGTACTCTTAGGCTTTTTCTAAGAAAGTTCTCAAGCTGATCAACCTACGATCTCAGAGCTTGGCCCTCTTCCAAGTCTCCCGATCAGGTTTTTATGTTGTTGTTTTTAATTTTAAGTATGATTCAAGTCCTCATCAATAAGACGACTTCTCAATTTAGTCTTGATAGCGTTTATGCTTGATAATGATTGTTCGCATGGATACGCAGACCCGAATAAAGAAAGAACAGCATACGCTAGTTTTTTCAGCTGATTATGCGAATCAAGAATACTATTCCATGTGTTAAAATCAACATACCTTCCTTCTCCAGGTCTTTCAAAGCAGACCAATTGTGCTGTGAAAGGCTACGCTCACATTTGTTTTTCTCCAATGTTTCTGTATCGCAGTTAAGACATTCAAATTTCGAGTTCTATAATTCTTTAATTTTCAAATCCAACAGCTGGAGTCCAAAGTTGCCAGTGTGAATATTAAAGGGAGCAAAATTTTGTGTTTGAATTATGCTATATATAGATCTAATATATATCCTAAATCGCGCTTTCGAGACATTGAAAACGCAAATTTCGACAATCAGTCCAGTAGAACGGGAGAATAGAACTGTCCCATTTTTTGGGGTGCAAAGTGTACATCAAGGGGGGTGAATTAGAGAACCGTCGCTCGGGGCGGCTTAAGTTCTAGTTGCGCGACTGAATCAAGGTACTTACGTGTTATCACAACCACCTTAGAATACACCAAACTCAAGAAACCATGGCCTTCATTCCAGTGCAGGATTTACGTATAAGCTACACAAGCTATAGCTTAGCCCCCCCCACACTTTCTTGGGGAAAGGAGCAAACAATTAATTAAAACATAGTACAACAGGCTTATAAAGCGCCCCATATCTCAAATAGCTTAGGTCCTTATCCAGTCTAAATCCGACCTTTCTTCAGTCAAACACAATAATCATCTCCGTACGCGCTCTTTTTGTTGCCTTTCAAGTCCCAACGATTATAAGCACCAAGGGTTTCCTATTATTCCCCTCTCTTAAATTTAAAATACGCCCTTGTGGAATTTTCCAGCAACTAGAGAAACAGCGGCAAAATTGTGGAGACAATTAGGTATTTTTTGGAAACAGAAGAAGTGAAAAAATGAGCATAGCCTTCGCCGGGAATCGAACCGCGGACCTCTGGAATACACCCCTAGCGTGCAGACCACTGCACCACGAAGGCACGCTAAGAAGACGGGAGAAATACCTTACATACTCCCCCTTTTTAAAGGGCGACTGGGGTTTTTAGGGCACCCAGTCGCCAAATCCTGGGTGTGGAGATTCATCATCCACCACCCTTTTAGTTCCAGCGCCAATGTAGAGTCATTAGGTTTATTTGGAAGCAAGAGAGATTGAAAAATGAACATCGCCTTCTCCGGGAATCGAACCGAGGACCTCTGGAATACGCGCCCAGCGTGCAGATCACTACACCATGAAGGCACGCTTAGAAGGCGGGAGAAATACCTTATAAAATCTCTAAATGACTCAACGAGGAGATACGCTTGGCAGATAATTGGTGTGCCGTGGTTTACGCGATACCGAATCTCCGCAATTGCCGACTTAGGATAAATTGCAATAATTTGGAAATCTATTTTTAAAAAAGTTGCGAAAATCACCCGCCATATTGCACCGATAAGTGACTTTTACCTTTTCATTTGTAAAAAATCGCCAAATTGCGCCAAGATAGTTGCATTAACACGTAAGTACCATAAAAAATTTTTATACTTAAAAAAACGACGATTTCATTATTTACTCTCGACCTCTACGTTATTTATTTCATTCTAATTTTTAGTTAATTAACCAGTTTTGTCTAAATTTTATTATTTTTATTTCTGCACAATCCTTTCCAAAAGCATTAAGGCCATCAGTGGCCGAGAGCATAAAAACGCTGAATGGCTAAACCGGATTCGTATGCCTGAAAATAGACATGCATGGGCGTTTTTGTGGTCGTTAAGAGCCGTTAGCACTAGAAATGGGCAAAACCACTCTTTTACGAGATCGGATCAGAACGGTTCGCTCAATGAAATGAATCTGTTCTTTTTTGTGGACTCACCACTCACTAATAATAAACTTGATGAAAAGGATCAGGAACGAGGGGTGAATCAAGAGCGGTTAGCGAAGTCGGAGTGAAGAGTGCAAAGAACAGAACGATCAGTGGGATCGGAAAAATCGACTCAGTCAAATGCTAACTCACCAAATTAATTTTTTTAAACTATAGTTTTGAGATTCCCTAAAAACCTTCTTTCTACACAAAACTAACAAAAAAATTCTTGAATAAAAAATTTTCAAAAAATTGGGAAGTAATAAAAATAAAACTCACTTTTAACATGGGGGGATAATTATTCTTTCCTTCCCTAAAATGAGAATCAAACTTTTTTGGGACATTTCCAACAAGAATTCCGGTGTTTTTCGCGAATCAGACTTCAAATCTCTAATCTTAACACGCTTCCAACACGAACTGTTGAAAAAGAGCTATAATTTTATTTTATGGAATCGGTCTCAATTTGCTTAGTAAAGTGAATCAGTTCCGGAGCAGATCACCCAAGGTGATGGGAGACATTTGACAGAGCAGACACTGCACACTGCTCGACAGCATTGAAGAGGGGGGGATGGAGTTTTTCTTCAGTCGGAGTATCTGATTTTCACGAACAGCGGAGCTAATCGACACATGGAAGCGATTCCTTTAGTTGAGATAAACCCCAGTGTAAACGGTCCTGACACTTGGATTTAGATTCAGACTGAAAAACCTTTCAGTTATTGCAGGTATTGAGCATGCTTAATGAAATGAAGTGACATATTACTAACCTGCCAACCTAAGTCTCGAAAACTGACGTACAGTGTCCACCTTTGGCAGTTTATTTCTGTATTATATCGATCTAGACCGGCACCTGAAAAGGAAAAAAAACGCAAGATGAATAGAAAAGTACAGAAGACAGTTCGGGGAGTTGTTAAAAATGTTCAATACACTTTAGTAAACATTTAGCAATAATTGTCTTCGACGTCTTGAAATTTTATTAGCCCAAAGAGGCAATTTGCCCAGAAAGGATATTAATTTCGTTTTGCCATTTTGCATCGGTTACCTATAAATGTCGGTTCATTTTTCAAATTGTTGCCATCAAATATTAGAGCCGTGCATTATATTTAAAGAAATTAAATAATGAAGAAGCTGCATGAATCTATGTATTGTTACGAAATGTACAGGCGCAGTAAGATGGCTTCCCCGCAAAGCAGTTTAGGGTTGCCATAAAACGGCAAAGGAAGGCCGGGTTGCCACATTTGGTGAGAAATCGTCCATTTGGCAACAAAATTGGCGTTATGCCATGGACGGGTGGAGAACCTTCTGGAACGAATTCTTACCGGTTTAGCATAGAATGTTCTCGAACACCAGTCAAAAGCTATATAAACCCTGCTGGTACGCGGAGAGTGAATTAGTATCGAGTGTGTCTCGTCTAGCGAGTCAATCCCTGCGGAGTCGATCGAGTTGACAGCCGGGCAGCGAGTGCCGAGTGAGTCGTCGAATCCACTTGTAAGGATTATGTTAATTTTATTAACAGTTAAATTTTAAGTTAAAGTTCCTTTCCCTGTCAAATTCTTAACTTCAACTTACTACTTCCGGCCAGAACGTAGTTTGGAATCTTGCTGAATATTTAATGAGGAGGAGCGGTATTTAAACCACGAGGTTACTTACTGAGACAGAGAGAATCAGAGTTTCTGATTTACGCGCGTCTGCCTTTTTGGCCACTCTCTCCTCAGAGCTGTTATTACGCTCGGCCGTACTCAGGCCCTTGCTAAGCTTCGTAGTCAAATAAGTTAAGGGGCCAGCTCGATTTGAACCTTGATAGCTTCGGCTATACTTCTTTAGTTAATCTTAGTTTTAGTTTAATTCTTAGTCTTTTAAGTTCAAGTCCAAGTGCGGGCTTTGCATGTACACTCCCAGGCGGAGTTTTGTTAAATCTTATTGGAATAATAAAGGGTTAGTTAGCCTTCTATCTTGTTGTTTCTTGCCACCGAACTCAAGCGATTATTCGCTTATCAGTTCTTAGATTCTTCACTTCCAACATTAACTTCGAATTCCAAAGTGAGGAACTCTACACACTGAAGGAGTCTGTTAGTGTATCGCGGTTAGTGCATCGTCGAGAGAGCGTGTCGAGCTCCGAGAACGACTGAACCGAAGAGTCGGGAGCTGTGCTCGTGTGTCGTCGAGTGCATCGCGAGTTGTAGCGTGGAGAGTCTCGAGAGTACGTGGAGTTCCGAGAACGACCGAGCAGTCAGGAGGTGTGATCTGGTGCTTTGCAGTGCAGCTGTCTCCACCGTGATGGCCTGATAACCTGGAGGCTGTGTCGCTGATCGTGTCAGCGTGTTTATAGTAGTTCATCGACGACTGTAAAATCGTGTTTTGGAGCTGTCCTGACAATACTGGCCAATAAAGTGTGTTTCGATACTTCATCAAGTGTCGTCGTTATTCACTCCAAATCTACGAACCCCGTAGCAATTGGTGGCAGAAAAGAGAAAAACGCAACACTATGTTTCTCTTACAGTGAAACAACGGTACCTAGAGACATCAAATTTTGAATAACGTAGTCATCTATTCGAATATGGGCATCTGGAAGCCAAAATTTAGAATTTTGAATTTATTATCTATTTCATATTTTGTCAAATATTAAAGAATTTTTGATTAACAAACTCAACGATTTCAAAGCGAGCAATGGCGAAAACATTTTTATGCCCATCGCGCGAGACTGTGTATCGGAAATTCTAAAGATATGCTCTTTTAAATATTTTGTTATATTGCTGTTGATTTGAACTTTATGGTTATTGAATTATAATGAAGAATCTGCATAATGAAGAATCTGCATCTGTTTTTCACAGACGATTGAGTATTTCTCATTTAATTAATTCAGCTCTCACTTCGCAAGAAGGCAAAAACACATAAAAACTCAAAATATCTATATTAAAAATTACGAAGTAAATCTAAAACGCTTATTTCCTCGAAAAAATTCCAGAAAGAATTAAGCATGATTTAATTGGCAATAATAAATGAATGCGTTATCTTTGTTGTTGCGAAGCTAAGTTTCTCTAGATTGGCTACAAATCCATCTAGTCTCCTGTTTCAAATGTAAACATCAATGGCCGCTATTAAAAACAGGCTTAGCGGCAATTAAACAAATTTAAAATTGCTGATAATTCTAAAATTATTGCACACAGATTTACTAAAGGCATAAAATCCTTAACCGGAACATAAAAACAACATAATTCCATCATTTTTAAAGCAAAAAATGTACAATTTACAAACATATAAGAGTAAAGGAACTGAGATCACTGTTCCGGGTAACAGAGTGGATATATATATAAATATATTTATGTACGTTTGGTGCGGCCGATTGCAACCAAAATACGAGGTGCACATCTACATGTTATAGCAGTCCTATATACAAAATTTCAACGTTCTGAGGCTACTCGTTTTCGAGTTATGCGAGATACGTACGTACGTTCGTACAGACGCCACGAAAAATTCTCTTCAGAATTCATTTTAAAGCAGTTTTATAATTTTTTTGAAGGAAAAGAGTATTTTATTCTGTCCTTACGTACAGATATCACGCAAAAACATCGTTCAATTGCATTCGATGGCGGTCAAAATGGCTATTTTCGTTGAAATATGCTGCCTGAAACTTTTCGCGATTACACTACTTCCTTTTTACTTCGTACAAGGAAGTAAAAAAGAAATATATATATATATATCCAGCGCGCGAGACTGTGTATCGGAAATTCTAAAGATATGCTCATTTAAAAATTATTTTGATATATTGCTGTTGTATTGAATTTTGTGGTTTAAGTGCGAAGAACATAATATTTAATATATTTGGGACAGTCCAAATTTTTGTTGAGATGTTTCGGTAGATGACGTTTCTTGTTAAAAATTTTTGTTTTAAGTGAAAATGCATCACAAGAATTATCGTCTGAATTCGAAAATTATTACTTATTTAGCAAAATATATTCTGTAACTTAAGTGAACGTGGCAATACAAATTAAGAAGCAATTCTATTAGAAATTTAATAATTCGTTTTTAAGGACGGTAGAAGCATTCGAAATATCCAAAAAATCTTTGAGATAGAACATTCGACTATCTCTGATGTTATAATACGACGAAAAAAGCGTGGAACCATTGAAAGTCCTTACGCCTGCACCCACATAGCTAACACCAACGAACGGCAAATTTATTCTATGAAAAATCGTTTCCAGTAAAAGTTAATGCTGACGCTTTTAAAAGTTTCATTTAGGACATATGGATACAGTGGGCGATCAGCAAGATAATTCTTTGTCAGCAAGAAAACAAGAAAAATACTCCGTACGTTCACAAAATTTGCAGTAAGCAAAATTTTGTCAAATTGGAATAATGTTATATATAGAGAGAAATGTCAAAATTTAATATATTTGGATCAGATAGACAACTTAATAGTATATGGCAAAAGCAGAATTAAGAAATGAATTCGAGAAATCTTTACCTGTTGTTACGCATGCAAGCAGAGGCATAATAATTTGGGGATGTTTAGCTAGTACCTTTGGAATAAGAAATTTACTGTTTATCGAAAATAATATGGATTAGAATAAATGTATAATTATCCTTAATGAAAACTTGAAAGCATTTGCAAGAACACTTAGAATACAAATTACATTCAAGTTCTATCAAAATAACGATCCGGAATATACAGCCCTAAATCTTCGATTGTGATTCTTATAAAAATGTCTAAAAATTACCCAAATTCTTAAGTGTTTTCTGAAATCGAATTCTATCGAACATGCAAGAACTGAATCGAAAAAAGCACATGAAATATTAGCTGTTTATTCAAAATGTCCGAGTACTTATGTAAATTCATGTCCAGAATTTTTTGAAGAAATTATTTTCTTTTACCAAAAAAATTTTCAAAACAAATTTTGAACTAGCTGATCAGTAGTGTATATGAAAAAACAAATCATTTTACTAATATTTAGTAACTGATATTTAATAATAAAACTGAAAAACACAGGTTATAAGATATTTCTTTCGCCTTCTTAGCATGCCTTCGTAGTGTGGTGATCTGCACGCTGGGCACGTATTCCAGAGGCGAAGGCATTGCTCATTTTTCAAGTCTACTGCTTCATAAATACCTAATCTCTACAAGGTCTCCGAAAACAAATGTAAGCCATTGTAAATATTCTGGATTATAACCTTAATTATATATTCAATTAATAATTGAGAAAGAAATAAAAAGTGTTGTCGACAAAGCATCACATTATATTCTATCTTATTCAATTTATATCATTTATTTACCTGTGTATGGGTTGTAACTATGATGATTGTAATGTGTTTTCTGCTGTTTTCTTCTAGCTGCTCTTTTAGTTCTTAGTCGTGCTCGTTTGTGTGCTGTTTTAAAATAAGCCAGCATAAATGGTTGAAATTCTTCAGCTTCTTTCCAGCAGACGATACCCAAATCATGCGGTTCTAAACTATGAGCTGTAAAAAAAGTGCAAATAATGAAAACTTAGCAAATGCTTTAAAAGAGTTTAGTGAGAAAATAAATGAAAGGTTTCAAAATATTCTTTTTAGTTATTCTAAGGCATAGAATATTACCAAAAATATATATATATAAAGGTTCTATATGATAGAACAATTCTGTTTTAAAATAAATTAACAAAAATGGTTGGAATTCTTGAGCTTCTTTTCAGGCAGACGATACCCAAATCATGTGGTGCTAAACTACGAGCTGTAAAAAACTGAAAATAATTCAATTTTAGCAAATGCTTTAAAAGCCTAATGAAGATATAAATGAAAGATTGACTAGCCGCCTAAAATAATTATTATAAAAATGAAAAATTGCATAATACTATTTTAATCGTTGCAGCTAGCGATAACGATTAAGATAGAATTAATAACGATAGAGAAGAAGAGTTGAGATTACTGTTTTTAATCCCTTACTTTGTTAATCAGTAAGAGACAGATTAAATTTAAAAGCGAAATTAAACATATGCGGAAGTAGCAGCATACTATTTATTTTAAATTGATGAGTTTTTTTACTAAGGGGAGTTCTGCATTTTTTTCACATGGTTCTGAAAATTTTTGAAGTATTCACGCAATTTTCCCCTTCCTCAAGGGGTTCAAAAAGCGATATTCCCTAAATTTCGAAATCGATTCATCCTCGTATAGTTATCGTTCAGGCGTACAAATATGTAAGGCAAAACAAATTTTAAGAGAAAGCTATGCCGAAGAAGTAAGAATACAAGGGTAAGTGCATTTAACATTGAGTAAATGCGTATCTCGGTTGTAGAGTCATTAGATTATTTCGAAGCAGGAGACATCAAAAATGAGTAGTGCCTACGCCAGGACTCGAACCTCTGGAATACTATAATTTGGCGAAATATCGCCAACCTGACGACAATTTGGACAACTTATTTTGTCGCCAAAATTGGCAAAAATCGCCAAACCTGACAACAATTTGGACAATTTTTGTCGCCAAAATTGGTAAAAATCGCCAAACTTGGCGACTAATTTTCCGGTACATGCTCACTGTAATAAGTATTGTAATTCAATAAATGTAATTGATCACTATATTAGCTGCAACCGTAATTCGACCCTCGTATTGCTTTTAATTAATTTCGAGAAGCAGGAAGTATTAGAAATATCTTGGCAGCCGGTTGAAAACCATATATAAGGCTGTAGAGAGAGCATCTGCTCTCATATTTTACTAATGTTGCACCCCACAAATGTTTAATCACTGTATTTCAAGTATTTTGAATCATCTCATCATCATCCATATTATGCCTACAATAATTGCTTATCAAAAATTACTCCGAAATAAAACAACTGCTTCATTCTACCAACATCTCCCTTTACAACTACTTACAGCATTGCCAAAAGATGGAGCCACCGGAACGGTACTTAGTTTCCTCTGAAAAAATTTCCACTTAAATTCTAAAGTGGAGTGTCTTTTCATCACTACGACGTACCCCGTAGGGTCAAAGTCCCAGGACTAAATACTCATCTTTACCGCAATTCATGCCAATTCATCTGCTCTCAGTTAGCTAGTTGCTTAGTTATTGTTGTCGCGAGTTGTTAGTTCCGCGTGAATTGAAATATATCCGAGTTAGCTTTAGATGCGCTTTCCATTGCCTGTGTTTAACTTTCTTAGTAGCTCTAAGTGTAAATACTAAATGCACTCTGTGATGCTGTGAATTTCTGTGGAAAATTCTGGAACTTTGAAGTGTTTCTTTTGATTAAATAAATTATATTGACATGTGTGCATTCAATGTGTTACGAACCCTTACAGACGCAACACTATTTATATACTTCGGGTTACACTTATATCAAATTATTTAAATTCCATTGCTTATTTGAAGGATATTTCTTCTCATGGTTTAGTGTTATCATTTGTTTAATGTTATCAAAATAGCGGTGGGCACAAGCGATCGCATTAAGCGGTGCTTCCTGTATTAACATCTTTTGAAAGATGTGGCAGCGGAAATCGCTCTTCTCTATGTTTCATTATCATTATCTACATATCATTATCTATATGTCTCATTTTCTACATATCTTGTTATGCTATTTTGTGAGATGATCCGTTATTACTTCCTTGTACGAAGTAAAAAGGAAGTATTGTAATAGCGAAAAGTTTCAGGCAGCATATTTCAACGAAAATATCCATTTTGACCGCTATCGAATGCAATTTAATGATGTTTTTGCGTGATATCTGTACGTAAGGACAGAATAAAATACTCTTTTCCTTCAAAAAAATTATAAAACTGCTTTAAGGTATCCGACCTCGTACAAAAGACGATTTTCGGTCAAAATTTCGATTTTTACTTTATTACATTATCTGAAAGAATACATCTTTAGCTATCAAATACAAGTTTTTGCTTGTTGATAGGTTAATTAGAACTGAAGTTATAAGCATTTTTCTATAACTGAATAAACCGGAAGTTCCAATATTCTGGGCCGGAAGTGAGCGTTTAAATAGATATACCTATTTAGAAACTTTATTTATCATCAAGATATTGTAAATTATAAACCTGCGTACTAAGTTTAGATATTTTGTAATACATTTTAAGAATCTGGTGTTAGTTTTTCCCCTTAATTTCGTATTTAGTTTGGCGCAGAGGGTATTCGACGTTGAATGTATGTGCTTGCTGCTTTGTCGATTAGCGTTGACAAAGTGCTTGATTTGAAAAGCTATATCACATTTTTGCATCATTTGCCACAAAATAAACAGAATAGCATGCAATCTTCAGCACGACATTTGTAAAGCATAATATAATTGTTCTGCAAATTATAAAGAAGCAGCTTCGGGTATGGAAAAGCAGTTGGTGCTTATTCCCCTGTTTGAATGATCTATTTACTTTACGAAGGCTGAAGTACACAGGAGTATTAAGAGGATGAGGATTCTAAGAGGTTTTTAATTGTGAAAAGATATATATGGTAAAGATTCAGTCAAGAAAGTGGAATGCATTGAACATGTACAAAAGGGTTGGTAGTGGACTATGAAAAGTAAAAAACTCCGCTCCTGAATTGAAAGGAAAGGTAAACTGACTGCTTCTTTTATGGATAAAACTGGCAGAATTAGGGATTGCAATTAGAAGTCATGTTTGAAACTTATTGAGATGCAGCAGGTTTTTACTAACTGCTTGTTCCATTGTAGCTCTTCTTCAAGCCAATGCCCTCCTCAGTAATCAATGAATTGGTGCAACTATGAATGTGTAATTGCAGAAATCAGAAAAAAAAAAAAAAAAAAAAATCAGAAAGAAAAACATTAGGCAAAAACCTCTGGTATATCAATATAATTTGAATTTAATTAAACCTACATATATGGAGTTGACTACGTAACAGAGTTATATATAAGTATCAGTATCAAAATATCAAGGAAAGTTTTAATGGTATTTTATTGCAATTGTTCCGAAAGAAACATTCATAAACTTGCGAATATTAATGTTTGGAGCAAATTAAGTGTTGGGTTATTTAATGTTATTAAATATGATGGATTTATAGGTTTGCTTGAAGCATTTCACGTTAGGTATGTGTCCTGAATTTTATTCTGAGCAGGGAATTCGAAAACTTGATAAAGTGCAAAATCCTGACTCTTAGCGTGGATTCCACAAGTTTTACGAAAACCCAAAGAAAAAATTAAGCTTTGTTCGGAAGAAAAAGGTGCAATGTGTATGAACAAAAAACAAGGTATCAAGTTACAAAGCAAGGTGAATTTTAATTATCATGGGATGCTTCTTTTCACTAAGAAATTGTTTTATGAAAACATTTAAGCTTGTTTTCTGAAAAATGTTCTTTTTCTGTAAAATATAGCCAATGGTAACAGCCATAACTCAAAATTTTATGGATAAAATTAAATGATACTTTCTATACATATTTCATATAATCTGATGCATGCTCGAGCAAAAGATTTTAGAAATATTAATTAGAAGTTGACTTGTTACTTTTTATTTTTAGATTTTGGATGCAATAATAGTAAAATATACAGTAAATACTATACATTTCGACATATCTCAAGAATATATGAATATTTCTTAATTATTTTGCTTCATTGCATACAAAACAAGTGTAAATATAAATACAAATTAAAAAAACTGCATATTTATATATACATTGTTCGCCGTGGTTGTTGCCGTAAAGGCAAAATTTAAGCAAAAATGATCCCCTTTTTCATTATTTTTCAAAATTAAAATTACTTAGCATTAAGTTTTAAATTGTTTTCACTCATCAATATCTTATCTTCAATTAATATGTTTATATAAATAAAACCCTTTTTAAAAAATGGTACCGAACGAGGTCTCCTTAAAAAATTCTGAAGCTCAGGTGCTGGGCACTTCATCAGGCTCCTAGGCTGGGACAGCCATATCCTGTGCATAATTCATTTTGGATAAGCATGTCTTTCCTGGCATAACATGTTGGAGAGGATAATAGAGGAAGAATATTCCTCAAGAGAGTTCAGTGATTGTTGAGTCATGGCATAAGTAAGTGATAAGCAATTGACGGTATTAAATTTTGAGCCTTGCGTATTCACAACTCGTAGGGTCAGAACGTCCGTCAGGAGAGATAGGCATAGCAGTCACAGCTTCGACGTCCGGCGCTCAAATGAGTGAGAAACGGGTAGCAGGGCAGGTCCATGGTAGAGTGGGAGGAGCTACTGGTCATGCGATCCAATGGGAGTCCTGGAAAGAGAGAGTGCATTTCCTTGCTCGACAGGCATTGGTGGGGAAAATTTTTAAAGTTAAAAACTTCGTTTAAATCCTGGGTACGTTAATATGATGAAATAAAAAAGAGAGTTGTCTAGATACTATACAATAACATTAAGTAACGGGATTCTGGACTGAAATAAGTTGGCCTAATTTTAATGAGTTCTGAACTAAGTATAAAATAGGATAAATTGGACATATCAAGTGATGGTGTGATGCATTATTGGTTCCTATTCTGTATGACAGATGGCGACACATGCGCGTGTGCTTTTGAGAATT